CGCGGGGGCGCAGGCGGGACGCCGGCGGCGACCCCGAGAGACGGGCCAGCCGCGGCTGTGGCCACCTGACCTGCAGGAAATAGGAGCGGACACGAACACACACGAACACGGGTTTCCTCACACGCACAGACTTATATCCTCGGAGACCTGTTATCAACGGGGATAGACTGTGGTTCGTTTTTTGACGCATTTTTACGCACGAACTTTTCTTGAATCCCGTTCAGCTGCGGATGTTTGGATTGAGGTCATGATGGTGAAGAACTAGTTTCAGGGACGGGTTTTAGATTTTCATGGCTGGATTGTGAAGTTTCTGGAGTTAAAACACACACAACCAGTACCGGAGAGCGCCTCCTCCTGAAGCAGCCACCGCCGCCGCAGAGATGTCCATCTCCGGAGTGAACTCGCAGTTCCCCCTGGCACAGCTTACTGATCTCTAACCCGCACCGCCTGCGTGTGTGTGTGCGTGTGCGTGTATGTGTTGTCCGGGTCCCGGTCTCAGCCATGAGCAGCATCACGGACCTGGAGCGCGTGTCTCTCAGCTCCTCCGCAAACTCCGTGGCCTCCTCCAGCGCGCGCACGCTGTCGGCCAACGTGCGCAAACTGCACAACGCGCTCAACCTGCTGCTGAGCGACTACGAGCGGGAGCAGTTCATCCACTGCCTCAACGTCTACCACTCCAAGCGCAACGTCTACGACCTCGTGCAGACGCTGCACGTCATTCTGGACGCGCCCAGCAAACGACAGCTGCTGCCCATGCTGCGGCTCGTCATCCCGCGCTCTGACCAGCTGCTCTTCGAGCAGTACACCTCCGAGGGACTCTACCTCAAGTCGGAGTTAGTCGCCACGACCAACGGCAGCGCAGAACCGGCCGCGGCCGACTTCCCGATGCCCCGCGGAGCCAGCCCGACCCTGCCCTCAACGCACTTCACTCCTCCAGAGTTCCAGGTCAGTGCTGTGGGCTGATAATTTGTTGTGACAAAAAAAAAAAAAAAAAGTATTATGCTGTCAAGAATCACCTGATCCAGAAGTTTGACGTAAAGACTCGTAGACCAAGTTCTCCAGAAGCAGAGCCAGAACAGTTCTAGCATCTGTCACATGGCTTTTCCTCTAAATTGGATCATAATTTTCAAAATTAAAATAATACAAAATAGAGAATGGAATAGAGATTCAGTTGAACTGTCTATCTGTGGATGACATTTGATCCACTGTTTCTGATTTGTTGACTGTTTTTTTTTAATTGACTTAATGAGATGACGTCAAAGTTAATAGTAAATAATCCATCATATTGATTCCTCCAACCACCCTGGAAAAATGACCAGGTTTTAGAAGATGAAGTAATTCATGAATATTCAATAAAATTCAAATACAACAATTTCTACTGTTGTGTTACATACTGTACATGTGTACTGTTTAAAACTATGTACAAACAGGGAGATAGCTGCACCATCAAGGAAAAAAATATACAGAAGCACGAATAAAGGTGGAACTACAGTAATACAGAGAACGTGGTGCTGCAGTCCATGGTCATGGACGACAGCAACAATAAACACCTTGACTCATGACGTTAAAAGTCAAATATAAAACCCTGTCTTTGCATCTTCACCTTCCACTGTAGGTGGCGCTCCGGGGCTCTCCTGACACCCTCAGCAGCAGCAGTGACAGTGTAGCTCCGCTGGTGCCGCTGCTGGGCAGAAACTTCATCCACGAGCCACCGGGGGCGCTGCGGCAGGTCAGCATGAAAAGACACAAGAGCAACGAGGGGCTGGGCTTTAGCATCCGTGGGGGGTCGGAGCACGGAGTGGGGATCTATGTGTCCCTGGTGGAGCCCGGGAGTCTGGCAGAGAAGGAGGGACTTCGTATCGGAGACCAGATCATGAAAGTCAACGACAAGGTCTTTGACAAGGTCACGCATGCAGAAGCTGTGAAGGTAGGAGCTTGGAATAAGTTGGATAATTTTTTTTATTAACATGAAAAATGTATACAAATACATTTTGTCCAGAGATTTCCAGGTTGGTGATGGACATGTCCACACAACACTGAAATAGAACTCCTTTAGCACTGTTGATAGTGATGGAACCATGTTTCAGATGAGAACATGAGTCGGTGTTGACTGAGCTTCAGACAGGAAGCAGAAACCAACACTGGATTTGAACCTGATTAGATTAATAATAATTCACATCAACCTGCTGCTTTTATTCCACACTTTTCAATCAGTGACTCACATCCACCTCTGTGAAGAAACATTTTTAGCCACACTTTAAACCATTAATACAATTAGTCATGATTAATTGTAATGAATCCACAGTTACTGTGTAATCAGATTACATTCTTTGTTTAGGTCTGAACATAGAACCTAGATGACCTCAGGTCTTCTAGACCCGGGTCAGTTTTCATGTGGACTTTATTGTTGACTGTTGTCACACATAGTCTCTCTCTCTCTCTGTGGACGTCTCTGATCTCTGATCAGTTCTTTCATAAACCTAAAAACTATGACCTGGTGCCAAAGAGGCAGGAGGTCAGACGTTAGTGTGACGGTTGTGCTGATTAAGATGAAGAAGAATGAAGTGTTCTGGACTAAGTCCAAATGGATGAGTACCACACTGTACTACTACCATATGAATTGTGTGTGTGTGTGTTAATGTGCTGATATACTGGCGAGGTTTGATTGACTGATGGACTGTTTTCTCTTGTGTACTACTTCAAAGAAGGATGTCATTTAAGTATTCAGGTAACGGGACACCGTTCTGAGCAGCTGGTAACCATAGAGGGGTGTGTGTGTGTTTGTGTGTGTTTGTGTGTGCGTGTGTATTTGCTGCTGTAAACTCACTCCAGGCCACTGTTGTTTTTGAATGTTAACAATCCTAGTAGTATTATAGTACACAGCAGGAGCAGGCATCTGATTGGTTATCCCGGCAGATCTTGTAGTTCAGAGAATGAATAAACTCCCAGAAACCTTTGGTGTTGGAATTCAGTTGTGGTTGGATCCTGTTTTTTTTTTTTTTTTTTTTTTTTTTGCCAGACTGACACCTGTTCTGTCGTCACGGTTTGTTTTATCCAGGTTTTATTGAAGTCATTTTCTAGCAGCATGGATAAATGCTTTTAACATCAGAGGGTGAAGAAGGACTCCTTGAAGGCTGTGATCCACGGCGATGAGCAGGAACAGTCCACACACGGGTCACAAAATAACCAGCCTTCTGGTTCTTAATTATTTGACAGAGTTGGCTCTGAATCTGAAAAGAACATTCGGACCTAAAAGCAGTCCCTTTGAAATACAAACCAACATTTGATGGTATCTGTCTCTTAAGAGAACATCAGAGGCCACATCAAAGTCATCAGATGGATCCAAAAGTAGTTTCACACCTTATAAATTTCAGAGTATAATGTCAAAACTACAACACTGGTTTTTGCTGTTAGTGTGAATGTAGGAATGTAGGAACTGAAGTTTGAACTTGTGCCTTCCACAACGATGCAAATCGACATTTTGCTTTGCGACATTCGGCATTGTTTACAATCTGGCGGTAAGCAGCGCAGCAGCTTTCCAGGTTGGTGGTTTCCATAATAAAATCGTAAAGTTATGCAAATCGCCATTAAAGTACCACTCGCCTGCGAGTAACCTGAGCACCGGTGCTGCACGATTTGATGAAAATGTGCGATTGAGATTGTGATTTGCAACCGCGATTTACGATATAAATGAATGACGTGTACTTGCTTGATTATCGAACCGCGATTTACGATATAAATGAATGATGTGTACTTGATTGATACTTGATTATCAAGGAAAACACGGAGAATAACGATAGTTTGTATGTTTCTCAACTCAACGAAAACACGGAGAATAACGATAGTTTGTTTCTCAACTCAAAACATTAAAATACAAAACCTGAAGTTTACTTAATGTTTTTTTGTAACCTAATATCAAAAAGATATTTCTAAGAATAAGGGTGTTTATGTTCAAATGGAGACAACTTGAAGGCATTTCTGCGGACTCATTTAGAGAGAGACTATGGAAGAACAACTTGATAGTACTTGATGGTAACCTTTGTATTGCTTTTGGTGTGATTGACACATTTTTAGAGAAAGTTGTGGTAGGGTACAAATCATAGCCCATTTGAAACTTAAGCACAGGTTTTCGTTGTTGTAACAAAACGTCCTTTAGCTCCACAGCCTTTTTGACGTTACTAGCGTTGTCTGTAGTGAAGGTAACCTGACGTTCCTCGCACAGCCTCCTTTAGAAAATGACCCTAAAGCGCATTTTCGGCCGAAAGACTATCACCGAAACAACACGGCTGAAACAGAAAGTTATGATGACACAAGCAAAAACCCAGCCAGCGCGGGCTTGTCTGAAAGCCAACATTTCTGCCGTGTGGACGTATTTCAATATATCTGAGAAAGAGACCACGGATTGCGATTTGCACAACATGTAATGCTGAAGTTTCAAGAGGGGGTGAACAGTCATAGAGTCTGTCAACACACGTTTCACACAAATCTATTCGGTTCCCCCTGATCTCGTCGTCACTGTACTTGATACGTGTTACAAAGATCACTGATCGATCAAATGATCCGTGGTGCGATAAATGCGAAGTTGCTTGGAAATGGAGAATGCACAGCGCAGGAGGAAGAGAGCAGTGTGCCAGATGAGGGCGTTCTGTGAGCTCTTTACAGAGAGTTCCTCAAATATTAATAATATGCAGACTATTCTGTTCTGACTTCCTATGTGACTGTCAGTTAATTTTATTTCTCTGCTAGATATTTCACAATTAATTATTTTGACATTTTTAAATTTATTTATTCATTTATGCAATTGCAGTGCCTTGATTTTATTCATTTTATTTTATTTTATTGATTTTTCAGTCCTAGCCATAAATGCGACGGTACTAATAATTGGCATAATAATTTCTTTCGGTGTTTCGGTTTTTGGCCTTGGTTTCCTCATATTTGGTTTTTTTCGTTTTCGGCAAACAATCCAGTGGTCCCAGTTGGGGACCACTGCTCTAACTGATTGATACTTAGTTTAATGGTCGACAAAGATACAGGTAGATTTGACACTAAATAAAACGTTAAAGTAGCTTTTGTTATAACTGGTAACTGTTGAAGTGTATCGACAAACATTTGTACACCATTTGTTTCCTTGGAAACTGTACCAACTTGGAATAAGGTTTGTGTTAAGTACTAACTTTTATTCACACACACACACAGAGAATAAAATAGAATAGAATAGCCTTTATTGTATTGCAACCACGGTTTACAATGAAATAGAAGAGAGGGTTCTCCACTGTGAATATTCTTACACGGCTGTCACTATGTTTTGATGATGAATCGATTGATTTTTTCCCCACATTCAAATGATGTACATTTAATACATCTGCAAAGTCACCATGACAACATGAGCTGCTAGTTGTTTGTTTTGTTTTTTTAAGTGGTCTTTGTATATGGGTTGTATCTGAGTCCACCTCCTCTGTTGAGTGATGGTTTTTCCAGGTTGACAAAAATGGCCCCTCTCTCAAACCATCTGTCTTCCCTGGCCAAAATGTGTACATTGTTGTCTTCAAAGGAGTGTGTTTTGTCCTTGAGGTGTATGTGAACAGCTGAGTCCTGTCCTGAGGAGTTGGCCCTCCTGTGTTGGGCCATGCGTCTGTGTAGTGGTTGTTTGGTCTCCCCAATGTACAGGTCCGTACACTCCTCACTGCACTGAACGACATAAACCACATGGTCCAGCTTGTTTCTTGGAGTCCTGTCGTTGGGATGAACCAGTTTTTTGTCTTAGGATGTTACTGGGTTTTAAGTGTACCGGGATCTGGTGTTGGTCAAAGATCCTCCAAAGTTTTTCAGAAACTCCTGAAATGTATGGAATGACGACATTCCCCCTCCTATTGTCCTCCCTCTTTGTGGGCCTCTTTTTGTTGCGCTAATTTGTGCTCCAGTGGGTGGTGTGAATCAAAACTATGTTGAGTTGTCTGTCCTCTGTGATGTGAACCGCACAGTCCAGGAAAGCAAGGCTGTTGTTTTTCACATCTTCTCTGGTGAACTTAACTTTCCTGTCTACCGCGTTGATGTGGTCTGTGAAGTTGTTGACCTCATGGACCTTGGATTTTGACCCAAGTGTCGTCCACATACCGGGACCAGTAACTGGGTGATGTTCGCCACTGTGGGAGACACAGGAGAGCCCATAGCGCAGCCATCCTTCTGTTTGTAAAAAGACTTGTTGAACCGGGAGTAAGTGGTGGTGAGGCAGAAATCCTGAAGGGCACAAATGTGGTCAATGGTCAGGTTAGTTCTTACTTGGCAGGGTGTGATTTTGTAGTAAGCGCATCCTCACTGTTGCTACTGCTTCTGTGGTGGAGATGCATGTAAAAAGTGATGTGACATCGTAGGAAACCACGGTCTCGTCCGTGTCCAGTTTTAGGCCCCTTATCTTGTTGGCGAAGTCCTGTGAGTTGGCTATGTGGTGAGGTGTGTCCCCAACCAATGGTGAAAGGATGGAGGCTAGGTGTTTGGCGATGTTATCAGTGGTATGGTATAGTGACTGAATTGATGCTGCTGATAATGGGTCTGAATGGAGCTCCTTCCTTGTAGATTTTGGGGAGACCACAAATACAGGGAATGGCTTTTCCCGGATATAGCCGGGGTGGTACAGAGGTTTATCGATGGCTTTATCCTTTTCCAGCTGTTGGAGGCAGCTGATTACCTTCTTTTTTTTTTGTAGCTTCTGGTGGGATCTTTCTACAGGGATTCATAAGTGGCTGAGTCACTGAGAAGAGTTTTGACCTCAGCGCGGTACCTACCTTTGTCTGCTGAAAGGATGGTGATGTCTGGGTCTCTTTGGAGTGTTTTGAAAGGGGGAGGTTTAGCACTGGAGAGTGATCCGGTGTGGCACGCCGCGCTGGGAATTGTAGTAAAGCGATAGCGATACACTGTCATGTTTGACCC